GGGGAGGCATCCAACCAACCCGATGCGATCTGTATCATCGGCGTAGTGAAAACAGAATCAAAACATCATGATATAAGATTACTGACCTGATCACGAGGATCAAGCTCTTCTATTCTCTCGATTATTTACCCTTGTATAGTACTTGCCAAAGCTTGTGACCAGATGATCGCTCCTTCCGCACAGTGTACTTAACGTGTGTGACATTTAAAAGCACTTCAACTACGGTCGCATGACATCATACACCACCTATCATCATCATTATTCATTGTACAGCGTAATACAGTAAAGCGAACTTCACTGATCTCTGCCACACTCATAATGTATACAAAGCGAGTGGTAATATGTAAGGTGGACAGGAATTGGACCTACTTTGAGAGAGGGGGAAGAAATTGAACCCCTATGGTCAACAGACAGAGTACCCAATCGAATTCTGCGTATATACCGTTTCAAGCATTTTGGTCTGATAAGAAATGACAACGAGAATGTCACTGTTGTCGATTTTCTGCCATGACCTTCAGTGTCTCCAACCACCCTGCACTTACGGAGTCTTTTGGACCCCAATCCGGAAAATGAGATACACCTACTCTATCTGATTGTTCTGTGCATTTCTTCATGCCTCGTCTCCAGATCATCTGTTGAACTCCACGACGTTCCCTCCAGCCTGGAGCGGGCGCAACGAATAAAGCGCGGTGCGGTAGACGACAACTGGGCATACGCAATATGTAATAGAGGGAATTCTTCGCGTATAGAGCAAATGAAGCGTGTAGTGAAAAGCTAGGAAGCACTGTACAGCTGTTTTGACCGGACTGGGTCTCATCAGCAGTGCGAATCTATCGACCCAACTGGGGCTAGATTCGCACTGTTGATGAGATCTAACCAGGTGGAAACAGCTGTACTTCCTAGCTTTACAGTTCATAATTCATCTACTCTGTACATGACGAAGTCCCTCTATGAAATTGAATCAACTCCTTGATTACTCACATACGCAATATGTGTCCCAACCAGTGAGACCTACTGATCTGAATTCGATGCCCTTGTAAATTATTCCCGATAAACTCCCAAACACCGCACGCAAACGTGTCGACCAATGACGTGCATACGAGGTGGCAGTGACAGTGAATCAAAGGATGGATCATCGTGCATCCGTGTATCAATGCGTATGCGTGCGGTGTCTGATATCACGTGATGGTCATCGGTGGTGACCGAAGTGCATTACAATCTTGCACGCGATGATGACACGGTGAAGACGAGGGTACTAACCGATAACAGGGTAAGGAACCTACGGCAGTTATTTTAAATATGGTGCACATTCTTCGTCCGGAACGCAACTCTCACAAATTTGTGGAGGGGTGGAGGTGGGGTTACTGAAATTCTGATTTATTGGAAGAGTATTTTGCAAAAAGGAAACTACTCGCAAGCGCATCTCCTCGTCGAAAACTCGATTAAACACCCGGTCCGATTGTGGCCAGGACAAGTGACTCATTCGTGGAGGTGCGACATTAGCGAGGCTTGGTTGTGTTCTGATAACCGTGCTGTATTTAACTAGAGATGATGAGGGATCCAAAACCAGCCTGTTCGCCACTTTAAATTCTAATCTGAATAGGCCACAGATGACAGATCCGTGAACATAGTGACGTATGAAAATCTATCGAAACACGGGGGAAGGGAGGGCCATGCACGGTCATGTCAGATGACACGTTTCATTGTTTATCCACGGATGACGTAATGCATTTTGATTTGCATCAGCAGCAGCAACTACAATGACATGGTCAGTCGCATCATTCTCATGAGATAGAAGTTTGTAAACAATATGACGAATCAAGACCCACAACACGTTCTACCTAGATAGACAGAAGTGAAGAGGACTTGGACAGAACAGCCGGAGTGGAGATCAAACTGGACAGCAAATGTCACATGTCAGGGAGAGCGATAAATGACATTCGATTGTTTCAAGTCGAACAATTTTATCTATGCCTAGTCATATCACGTGCGGTTGGTTAGAGAGAGAGAGAAAAAACGTCACAGATCAGTGTGCAAAGGGCCCGGATACAAACCATGTCATAAAAACTGTGAAGACAAATGAACTTGTCAATTTGATTTGCTTTGTTGATCCTACCAAAGTAACACATTAGAGTGACTCTTCTAATAATACCTTACCTTACAGCGGCTGGCTCATTGGAAAGGATAAGCCGGCTCTAGACGTGATCATGAAATTCCTTGGGCGTTTGGTACGACAGACGTGCTCCGGCATCACTCGGCGTTTTTTTATTTTGAGGGCACACCTCTAGCCTTTGCGAACTGTGAGGCAGCAGGAAGTAATCCCTCGCCTCGGAAGTGAGGGGGTCAATGGCTTTAGTTTTAAAAGGTCAATCACATCGACCTTTGTCACGACACCGTCATTGGGGTTATGCAGCTTTTAAACAGGACCCAGGTGACCAGCCTGAAACCCACCACAGCCTGGTAGTGCCGCC